ATTATAAGTTGTCGTCTCATTTTTTTTTCAAATTTGGTCCTCATTCTTTTGATTGCTATTTTTTTGTGTACATTTGTAAAATTATTTTTTTATTTTAATTTCATCATTCAATCCAAAATTATAATTTTTCTTCTTATTTTTTTTTTAAATTTGATGGTCATTCCTTCATTGCCATTTTTTTTTAGCTTTGAGTACTTTTATGTAATTGGTTTTTTTTAAATTTTATCATTTAATATTAAATTAGTTGGGAATTAAGATTTGTTGTTTTTCTCAATAGGATAATCTTGGTTTCAAAATCCAAATCATAGGTTTAAAAAGTTAATCTAGGTTGACATTAGTCTTTTTTTAGAGTTTGTGTTTTTGCATTAATTTTTTTAAAATTTTATCATTTGACATTGAGTTTTTTTTAGAAATTAAACATTGTCATTTTCTTGGATTTACTTTTTACTGGGTAATCCTAATCTCATGACATGACTCACGAGCTTAACGAGTTAGCTCAAGTTTACTCGGGTCTTCTTCCTTTAAATTTTTTTTTCAATATTAGGTTAATTTTTGTAATTTTTCTCATCATTCCTTTTATTATGATATAACACTAGCATGACAAGTTTTGGGGTTTGCAAGGTTTTTTTAATTGATTTTTTTATTTCTTCCTTCTACATTATTTTTTTTTGGAATTGAGCTATGTATTTTTTTTATTGGGTTATTTTATTCTCATTATCTAAATTACAAGTCTGACATGTTAACTAAAATTAACTCCTATATTAGGTTGGCTAGAAATTGAGTTTTGTCATTTTATTTTCTTTTAGCATGTACTCTTTTTGTGCAAATTATCATGATCACCTCTTTTGATTTAATTCAGTACATTATTATCATTGTTTTATTATCATAAAATTAAATAATACCATCTTGGGTCTATGCCCTCATTGTGGATTTTTCTTCTTCAAAAAATGTTTGTAGCGCCTGAATATTTTTTATGGTAAAACTTGTTTAGTTATGACCATAGCATACAACCGACCACCAATCTAATTATAGTTATAAAATTCATATTTAGGTTTACCAGGCTTCACTAAGCCCAAGCCATCTTAATATTAGTGTTTGCAAGCTAGCATCCACTTGTATAAAATGTTTTTTACTAGTAATTAAATTATAATCTTTTTATCATCTATCATTTACCATATAAAAAATAAGGTATAAAAAATAAAGAGTCACCACCTAATATTACTAGAACTAAAAATCTTAATTAGTCTTTAAAATTTTAAATAACATGTTGGTTATCTAAAAAAAAATATTTATCACCTTATATATCTTTCCAAAAATAAATTACATTGTTTTTTATTTTTCATGACTAAGGTGTTTATTGTGATTTATTAAAATTTGCCTTAACTAATATTAATCCTAAAATGATGGTCTAGAACCTAGGCTTGACAGCAAGGTCTAATCTTCACTTTTAAAATATGGGTGCTATATACAAGACGTTGATAATGGTCAATTTAGGCTTGGCTCTTCATACCAAAAACAAGTTCAAAGGTCTTTACTGATACTCCCATGGTTTTGATGGGGTTATGTTAATCCAACTCAAACTTAATTACAATGATGGGGTGATATTTTGACATATGAAAAAAAAAGAAGGAATGTTTACAAATTAAAAAAAAGATATTTTCAAACATGTGCTAAAACAAGATTCACATATTATATATTTTAATTTAAAAAAAGGAATGTTGTCATTTTAAAAGTGACTCTGCCGGTAAAAAAACAATTCATTGTATGATAAAAAAATAAATATAAAAAGTGCCTTTGAACTTATAAATTAAGTTCATTATAGAAAAATAATATACATATATATATATATATAACTTAAAATATATCAATTTTATTTTAGTTTTCAACATCCAAAGAATAAGATTCGTTTAATAATCTTACTATTCTTATTTTGAAAATAAATCACATAAAGTAATTTAAAAATGGTTTTTTAGAAAATAACAAAGTTTTAATATTCAATTGATATGATGTATTTGAGGATATATCAAGAGGTCAATCTTTTGATAAAAATCCACACAAACCTTTATATAAAAAATTTTCCATTATATTTCTCTTAATAATGTCTATGTAATTTTAAAATATCTTCAAAATTCAATGCATTCATGCCCTCTACATTGACATTGAAATGGTTTGGAAAAGGATCGGTGTTTATTATATAATTATTCACATCTTTCTTAAAAAACATCCAACTATGATTAAATAATATAATGACATATTTTTTAAAATGCCTTGCATATCTCAATATTGTGTCCAATTGCACTAAAATAAAAATAACATTTCTTCTCAAGCTTGTAGTTGTACGGGCTAGCTTAATTTAACCACTTGTTAGTATAACTTTCCCAAAGGCATTGAAAAATATGATAGCTTTTCTTGATTTCAAATTATTTACTCTAGGTATTATAATTATAAAGGTAAGATTGACTATTTTAGTGGTATGGATGCTGGTTGTAGTTAAAATGTTGGGAGTGTTGGCAATAAGATTATTGATTATTTGAAGTGATGTTTGGAAAAATATGTCAATATCAATAATATTTAAATTGTTTAAGAGTATAAGTAAACTTGATAAAATGAAGCATATGATAAAGGAGTGATATTTTGAGTGAAATATGGGTGATAAAGTTTCTTGTGATAATCTCCATAACTTTTTGGTTGATAGGTGTATGTGATGCATTTCAACCTTTTCTTGTTTTTACTAAAATCTCCTCCTTTATTGCCCCAACTTAATTATTTTATTAATCCTTCCAACTTTGATGGCTTGTTATATTCATTCAATTATGAGCATAATTTTAACTAAACTATGGTTAGCATATATATAAAATAGACTTTTAAAGATGTTGATCAAAAGTGAAATGAATTATTTTTCCAAAAGAAACAATCGAATATAGGCTACAATTTTTCATCAATGCTCGGTATATATTTTTTTACAATTCTTTACTTTTCTTATCCATCACTTGTAAGTTGGACCTATCAAGTATTACTTCTAAGTGAAACTTGTATTTACATTTGAATTTATTTAGATATTTTAATTTCTTGATTTTGCTTCCATCCAAGATCATGCACCATGAAAAAGTAGTATCATTAAGACTCCTATCGAAGAAATAGATGAGCAGCTTTTCATTCTTAATCACTTTTGTCATTTTATTACCATAGATTTTCAGATGAATCTTCATGCATTCAACTCCTATATATTTGATGAATTTAGACACCTTGACCTTTCGAGGGACTACTACTTTGGCATAAAGCCCATCTTAGGTGCCTTTATAGAATCATCAAATTCATACCCTCAATCTCTTTCAGGCATTCTTCGATTGCCAAAAACTCTAACTATTTTTTATGCTTTTCATTATTAATCTTTTTTATAGTCAACTTTAAAGTGATGGTAGACCTTACTTGTGAAAATACTAAAAAAGGATGATGAGCTTTTGGAAATCCCTGGTTTATTAGTTCAATATGAACTACAGCTTCTTGGTGTGCAATCCTTTATAGATGAAAACCTGGAGGTACATATGGAGATTTTAAAGCAATGAGAATGTGTTGCAGGTACGCATACCTACCAAATTTTCTCAGTTGAACTGAAATTTATTTTGGATCCAATATTGACCTTCTAAGCTGAGTGCATCGACTAGAAGATATAGAAGCTGACCTAGACACAGTGATGGCACACGCTGGTCATGTGCAGTGCAAGACTCACACGTTAAGGATTTTGTGTTGCTAAGCATGTGTGCTCTATGCTCTACTGCTGAAGCTTGCTAAATAAGACAAAATGACCTGGTTCTCGAGTGGAAGACAATAAAGATCGTGGTTGGGTTGATTTGATAGCAATGCCTCCCATTTCTAGGCAAATTCAATGGCTGGGTTCGTGATATTTATTAGTGTTTTGAGCCCTTTTGATACGGGTTGAAGAATATTTGATCTGCTAGTTTTCTAGGTAGGTTCGAGGTTGGTGGATCGTGTTTTGAGTGGTGATCAGGTAGCGATTTGAGAGGTGGCAGTGAGTTTTTATTAAGAAGAGATTGGGTGGTTGTTGTTTGAAAGAGGACGCTTTGGTTCGAATGAGTCCAATCAGGTCTTCCATGGATTGGTTTGGCTGGAAACTAGTTAGAGATGTGGGATACGACAGTTGAAAAGGACAAGTGAATTTAGGAAGGAGAGTGAAGAACATGGCGAGGGTACTGTTCACCTGGGGAGAAAGGAGGAAGAAGATGAATAAAGGTTTTTTATTCTTTTCTTTTCTTTTCTTTTTTATTGATTTGAATTTGGTTTTATTTTGCTGCATCTTTATCTACTTGCCTGCTATTCCACTCCATAATTTTTTTATTTTTTATTTATTTTTTTCAATAATTTTTATTTAAAAAAATATTAGAAAATATACAGGGTTAAAAATCGGTAACTACATTGATCTTGATCCAACTTTGATTCCGCCATGGACACAATTTAATTAATGCTGCTCATTTGTTCTCCTTCTCCACCAGGCTACGTCATGGAGAATGTTCCTCTTCGAATTTTGGAGATTCCCGGTGGAACACCTTATGCATTAAGTTATCTGGCTCGTGACTCATTGTTTAGATTACAGTGCTTGTTTTTTCCTTCCGAAGCTCGTGGCATCTGATGGCACCGTTTGCCGCCTTAGAGTATTTTATTTCTATATATGCCAATGGTATAGAAATTGTTAAATCATATTATATGTGGGGGCTGCCTCGATAATATCAACATGAAGCTAACGGGTATAAATTGTATGCAAGCTGGTTACTATTTGTCGTAGTTAAAACATTCATTAATATTAGTTAGGTAATAATAAAGTATTTTTATTTAAGAAAATTTATTAAAAATAATATAAATTTATAATTTTATCGAATAATTTAAGTGAATGGATTGAAATTATCGTTGAAAAATAAATAATAATGAAAGGATTCGCATGGTGAATAATTTTTAGTCTTCTGTAGTTACAGTCCTAGGACTGCTCAAGCTAAGAGTAGAAGCTAATACTTGACATACCAAACTGTGAGCTGCAATCCATTTTGAGATGGAAAATGCTATATTGTCCTTGGAGGGGTCTTATTCTGAAGTTGAAGAAAAGTCAAGTTCTGCAAATAAAAGTTCTGAAAGTGTGGATGGAGGCAAGACATGGAAGCAAACTCCGTTCTATTGTTCTGATGGATTGGGACCGTCTGCTGGTGTCGATTTTCTTTGTTCGGAGGATGAAGTGCTGTATCAAGACGAGCGAGAATTGCAAGATCAAACATTGTTGGGTTATGCAGCTTTTGATGAACTCAAATTTGATGGCTTGTCTCCGTCTACACAGAATTGTCAGGAGGAGATCACAAAGCTTGGTGAAATCGTCCAAAATGGGAATCTAGACAGCGAATACAAGAAGGGCAAACGATCTGAGGATTTGCATTTAGCTTCTCTTGAGCTGCTAAGAAGATTTGGTAATGGGTTCAGACACTTCGAGAGTGGAAGGATAGTTGAGTCAACTTATGATGCACCACCGTACACAGCGGTGGAGAGCCGGGGATTCTCAACAGAAGAAATCATGGGGATTGCTGGTGCGAAGTTTATCCAGTCTGCTTCCCAATCAGTTGATGTTTCCTCTATGTTTGACAATCCCTTCGATCTTTCTTTGGCTGGTCTTTCCCACGAGGATGCCAAAATGGTGGAGCTCTCTGAGTTCCTTTTGGCTTCTGCTGAGAAAGTAAGTTGTGAACAGTTTGACAGTGCGCGGAGACTACTCAAACATTGCGAAGGATGTTCTTCTGATGTTGGAAATCCAGTCGAAAGAGTAGTTTATTATTTCTCTGAAGCTCTTCGAGAGAGAATTGAAATAAAATCTGGAAGAGTTACTTCAAAGGGCTTGAAGAAGAATCAATCAGTTCATATCTATGATACAATGAAGACTTCAAAGCAATCATTTGATATGGACACTGCAATGATGAGGCCGAACCCGGCCATTCTGGAATGTCAAAGATTAATGCCCTTTTGTCAGATATCGCATTTTGCAGGAATACAAGCCATTGTGGAGAATGTGGCTGAGGCGAAAAGGATTCACATAATTGATCTTGTAATCAGGAATGGCGCACAATGGGCAATCTTAATGCAAGCTTTAGCATCTCGGTTTGGGTGCCCTCTTGAGCTTCTCAAGATAACTGCTATTGGGACGACTTCAAAGCATTTAATCGAGGATACAGGGAGGTGGCTAAAGAGTTTTGCGCAGACCATGAACATACCATTTTCTTTTAAGATAGTAATGGTTTCGGACCTTTTGGATCTGAAAGAGAATCTATTAGAGATAGATGTTGAAGAAAAAATAGCTGTTTACTCTTCATATCTACCACGGAAATTGATTGCAATGCCAAATCGGCTGGACTCTATGATGAAAATGATCAGAAACATCAATCCATGTATAATGGTGGTCACCGAAGTAGAGGCAAATCACAATGCACCATCTTTTGTGCATCGTTTTGTTGATTTACTGTTTTACTACAGTGCATATTTTGACTGCCTTGATGCTTGTATGGAAAGGGATGATCCAAATAGGATGATTACGGAGTCAATGTATTTTGGTGAAGGAATCAGAAACAGTGTAGCTAGTGAAGGAGAGGAAAGAATAATTCGAAGCGTGAAGCTTGATGTCTGGAGGGCATTCTTTGCTCGTTTTGGCATGGTGGAGACTGACCTAAGCTCATCATCGTTGTACCAAGCAAAACTGATAGTTAAGAAATTTAATTTTGCAAGCTCTTTTACACTTGACGTGGACGGGAAGAGCTTGTTGTATGGATGGAAGGGGACACCACTCCACTCCCTTTCTACTTGGAACTTCACTTGATCGCAAAAGGGTGTTGATAAAATCTGAATCCTTTCGAGCAATCCCTTCGAGGATCCTTTCTGGAGTCGTTATTGATCGATGAGCAGTTTCTTTCTCGATATATGTTGATTTATGTGGAAAGGAAGATCCCATGCTTAAGTCATGGTTGCTGTTCTGGAGCCCGACAATTGTTCTCTTAACCATAGAATACTTCTTGTATAAGTCCTTATTATCTCCATTAAATGTTCAGCTGCTCAATTGTGAAACTTAAGTTTTTTTTGTTACAATGATAGGAATTTCTGTGATGGTTTTAAATTAATCCGAATCTTAATTTTTATATTTTTTTTTTAGTTTAATGTGATTGTTCAGCCAACTTGTGCGAACCTTGATTAATCTCATGGATCCTGAAATTAATAACAATATAAACCTTCAGTAGTTATTATATGAGTAATTATAGAATTCAAACTTGAAATCATACAAAAAACAAACTTTTTAGTATAAGTTATTACCACCGGCCACCACCTAAATAATTAATTTTCATATCTTTTTAATTTAAAAAGATGTTAATAAAAACAAAAATAAATAAAACAACAATAACATAGAAAACATAAAAATTTAATTAGTTACCAATATAAATCTTAAATTTACAAGTTTTCTCTCTAAATTTAAATATATATTTAAAAAAAAAATTATAAGATTTTTTAAATAGACTAAGAAAACTACCTTTACTAAGAAAACAATCTAAAATTCAAAAACAATGAGGAAATTAAAACTAAATTCACAGTAAAAAAACAAATCCTAAAATATCACTGGAAAATTAACAAAATTAGCCCAAACAAAACTATTTGAGTCTCAAATCTGATTTTAGAAGATTTAACGATTCATTAATACATTAAAAATATTTGTCAAGCATTCACATTTAATAATGTCAGACTCTCACCTGAATATTAGAAATTTCTGTTTCTAAAAGTCCAGCCGCCGCACGAAGAATGAAAGGATCACTACTCAACTTCTTTTATCAAAACAGTTGAACAGTTCTGCAGTGTTTTGCTTCCAAAATGATGACAGATCATTCTCCAAAAGCCAGCTTCCATGAGCGAGATCAAAAATATTTGTACACAACGAAACTTCTGCATTGAAATCCCAAATTGAAGAAAATTCCATGCTCCTACAAGGGGGAAAAACAAGAAGAAAAGGAGGGAAAATGTGTCCTTCCCTGCAGCAACATGCGGCAACCTGTAAATATTATCATCTTGAATGAAATGTGGGCACCCTAGGGGTGCTTCCATGAAATAAGTAACCGCAAGGTTCAGGATATGCACCCCTTGTTTAGAAGTCAATTGTCTCAGAAAACATATTGCAAGTGAACAATTCTGTGGCCACAGTAATGCCTAGCTGGATTTCCCCGATTTAGAAAAGGTTAGTGAACAATGTCTAGTAGACTATTTCGGTAATCATTGTGGATTACAATTTTCTTTTTTGTTTCTTTGATATTTTTATTCTCTTGGTCCCTTAATTTTTTTTAGTTTGCAATAATTTGGGTTTGGACTTTATGGGTTGTTTTGTTTGCCTATAAATGATGGTTCTCGATTAAATATTTTGTTGCTTAAATGATGCTCAGTTTTATAAAATAAAATTTATTTTTATTGATTTAGAGAAATTAAAGCTTTGAGATTATGTTTGAAACATTGACAAATGTTAAGCCCCTTAATTTTCTAACATTAAGGATTGGGTTGAATGGGCGGCGAAAAAACTCACCTTAATTGTTTTTTCAATTGCTTAACTTATTTTTTTTTTTAATTAGATTTATCTAGATTTGATTATTTTTAATTGATGTAATAACTTATTTTGGTTGTCTAAATATAGAGATATCATAATATCAAACAAAAGTTCTAGTGTTTGGCTTGATTTATCACAATAAATCTAAATTATGTTAATGTATAACAATTAAGGCTTGAAGAATCAAATTTAATACTAAAACAAATGTAAAAAACTAAAGTTAATAGAAAATGAAGATTGGTTAGTGCCTATAACGCATGGACCATCAAGTTAAGAAAGCCACTATACGGGTGGCTTCCTTCAAAGGCTAAACATTGCCTTCTAAGTTACACATGTCCCTATAATTATGATGATATATTACTGATGACATTCTTTTTTTTTCCTCTCTTTTCTTTTTTTTTTATTCAAATTTTCTAATTTATCCAAAATTTATAATTGTCCTCTCGTTTTATTATCATTTCAAATTTAGTCTTTATTTTTTTGATTGTTAATTGTTATAGGTCATTTCGTAATAATTTTTTTTTTTAGTTTCATCCTTCAATTCAAAATTTTTAGTTGTGCTATCATTTTTTTTCTTCAAATTTGGTCATCATTCTTTTGATTGCTATTTTTTTTATTTCATGTACATTTGTAAACTTATTTTTTTCATTTTAATTTCATCATTCAATCCAAAATAATAAGTTGTCTTCTTAATTTCTTTTTTAAATTCAATCATCATTTTTTCATTGCCTTTTTTTTTTGCTTTGAGTCCTTTTATATAATTGATTTTTTTTAATTTTATCATTTAATATTAAATTGCTTGGGAATTGAGATTAGTTGTTTTTCTTGATATGATGATCTTGGTCTCAAAAACCAGATCATAGGTTTAAAAAGTTAATCTGGGTTGACATTAGTCTTTTTTTAAAGTTTGTGTTTTTACATTGATTTTTTTTTAATTTTATCATTCGATATTGAGTTGTTTTTGAAAATTAAGCATTTTCATTTTCTTGGATTTACTTTTTACTGGGTAATCCTAATCTCATGACCTGACTCACGAGTTAACTCAAGTTTACTCGGGTCTTCTTCCTTTAAAAAAAATTATTTTTTTTCAATTTTATTTTTTAATATTGGATTGATTTTAAAATTGAGTTTCATAATTTTTCTCATTGTTCCTTCTATTGTGATATAGCATTAGCATGACAAGTCATAGGGTCTGCAGGTTTTTCTCTAATTGAGTTTTTTTATTTCTTTCTTCTACATTGTGTTTTTATTGGGAATTGAGCTATGCATTTTTTTTATTGGATTATTTTAGTCTCATGATTTAAATTATAAATTTGACATGTTAACTAAAGTTAACTTCTATATTAGATTGGCTAAGAATTGAGTTTTGTCATTTTGTTTTCTTTTGACATGTACTCTTTTTGTGCAAATTATTATGATCATTTTTCTTGGTTTAATTCACTACATTACTATCATTATTTTATTATCATCAAATTAAATAATACCATTTTGGGTCTATGCTCCAAGTTGTGGATTTTTCTTCTTCAAAAAATATTTGTAGTGATTGAATATTTTTTTATGCTAAAACTTGTTTGGTTATGACTATAGCATACAACCGACCACCAATCTAGTTATAGTTATAAAATCCAACTTTAGGTTCACCAGGCTTTACTAGGCCTAAGCCATCTTAATATTAGTGTTTGCTGGCTAGCATCCACTTATATAAAATGCTTTTTATTAGTAATTAAATGCTTTTTACTAGTAATTAAACTACAACCTTTTTATCGTATGTCATTTACCATATAAAAAATAAAGTATAAAAAATAAGAAGTTACCACCTAATTTTACTAGAACTAAAAACCTTAATTAGTTTTCAAAATTCTAAATAATATGTTGGTTATCTTAAAAAAAAGAAGATATTTATCACTTTATAATCTCACCGAAAATAAGTTACATTGTTTTTTATTTTTCATGACTAATGTGTTTATTGTGCTTTGTTAAAATTTGCCTTAACCAGTGCTAATCCTAAAATGATGGTCTAGGACCTAGGCTTGACAACAAGATCTAATCTTCACTTTTAAAATATGAGTGCTGCATACGAGACGATGATAATGGTCAATTTGGGCTTTGGCTCTTTATACCAAAAAAGGATGATGAGCTTTTGGAAATCCCTGGTTTATTAGTTCAACATGAACTATAGCTTCTTGGTGTGCAATCCTTTATAGATGAAAACCTGGAGGTACATATGGAGATTTTACAGCAATGAGAATGTGCTGTAGGTACGCATACCTACCAAATTTTCTCAGTTGAACTGAAATTTATTTTGGATCTAATATTGACCTTCTAAGCCGAGCGCATCGACTAGAAGATATAGCAGCTGACCTAGACAGTGATGGCACACGCTGGTCATGTGCAGTGCAAGACTCACACGTTAAGGATTTTGTGTTGCTAAGCATGTGTGCTCTATGCTCTACTGCTGAAGCTTGCTAAATAAGACAAAATGACCTGGTTCTCGAGTGGAAGACAATAAAGATCGTGGTTGGGTTGATTTGATAGCAATGCATTCCATTTCTAGGCAAATTCAATGGCTGGGTTCGTGCTATTTATTAGTGTTTTGAGCCCTTTTGATACGGGTTGAAGAATATTTGATCTGCTAGTTTTCTAGGTAGGTTCGAGGTTGGTGGATCGTGTTTTGAGTGGTGATCAGGTAGCGATTTGAGAGGTGGCAGTGAGTTTTTATTAAGAAGAGATTGGGTGGTTGTTGTTTGAAAGAGGACGCTTTGGTTCGAATGAGTCCAATCAGGTCTTCCATGGATTGGTTTGGCTGGAAACTAGTTAGAGATATGGGATACGACAGTTGAAAAGGACAAGTGAATTTAGGAAGGAGAGCGAAGAACATGGCTCGGGTACTGTTCACCTGGGGAGAAAGGAGGAAGAAGATGAATAAAGGTTTTTTATTCTTTTCTTTTCTTTTCTTTTTTATTGATTTGAATTTGGTTTTATTTTGCTGCATCTTTATCTACTTGCCTGCTATTCCACTCCATAATTTTTTTATTTTTTATTTATTTTTTTCAATAATTTTTATTTAAAAAAATATTAGAAAATATACAGGGTTAAAAATCGGTAACTACATTAATCTTGATCCAACTTTTATTCCGCCAAGGACACAATTTAATTAATGCTGCTCATTTGTTCTCCTTCTCCGCCAGGCCACGTCATGGAGAATGTTCCTCTTCGAATTTTGGAGATTCCCGGTGGAACACCTTATGCATTAAGTTATCTGGCTCGTGACTCATTGTTTAGATTACAGTGCTTGTTTTTTCCTTCCGAAGCTCGTGGCATCTGATGGCACCGTTTGCCGCCTTAGAGTATTTTATTTCTATATATGCCAATGGTATAGAAATTGTTAAATCATATTATATGTGGGGGCTGCCTTGATATTATCAACATGAAGCTAACGGGTATAAATTGTATGCAAGCTGGTTACTATTTGTCGTAGTTAAAATCTTAATTAATATTAGTTAGGTAATAATAAAGTATTTTT